TCCTAACTAAACAGAGGCCAGATCAATAGTCTCCCTGCTCACCGTACCTGAGGTTGGGTACGACTGGATCCCTAGGGCTACACTCCCGAAAACGGTCGCATGGCGCCTCAGTTCGACTGTTTTCCTAGCTGCACCAGTGGTGTACTCTGTGAGTCTATGTGAGTTTTCAGTGGGAGACATGTCATGCTTCCATGTTGTTCAAGTTTCCCTATGTATGCTGCTTGGTGTTCGGGTTTCCACGTGACTTTCAACTTTTGGAACCGGGGCGGAAAACCGCATTATATCGTGGTGTGGAAGTGAGTTCACCATGCCATGGGGAAACCCTTCCAGAGTTCGAACGAGACAGGCAGGTGTTTGGTATTGTTTGGTGTGTTCGAAGCAGTTTCTCTCTCTCACAAGGTTCTTGAATTCAGTAGTTGAGTCAATTGAGTCTTGCGAATGATGATACAAGTTCGATGATTGACGATTGGCACCTGCTGAATGATCTACTGTACCCATTTCCGCCAATTCGGCCACCCCCACACTGAACACTTGCAGGTGGAGTTGGAAGACCTCGAGGCTGGTGACGCCCATCGCGAGCCCGACTCCGGTAGCGCCTCACGCAGCGCGTGCAGCGAGAAGCGCCTGCTGGACGCCGCGACAGACTCCTCGGGCTCCGCCGACTCCCGGCGCCGCCACGTGAACAGCGAGGGCAACAACGGCGACGGGCTGTGAAGCGGAGGGGTTGCGCAGAAAGACCGAGCGTTGGGTAGCAAAAGTTTGGAGCGTGACCGTGGGGTGGGGTGGGGGGCCGCTAGGAGCCAGGTGTGGAGATGGTGGGAAGGGGTAAAGGTGTAAAGGATACGATTTGAAGACTTGTGAGTCATGGATGTGTCCAGATTTGTTGACTTATATAAGTCAATGTTTATAGCAGTCGAGATGTAATACAAACCACAACAAAAAACACACAACCTAGTTATTATTACAACCTTATAGTCATTAAAACCCGAACCTGGTTAACCCCAACCAACAACGCAAACCGAATCCGAACACCCGAACCCTTGGGACGCTCCGGTCGCCGGTCGCAGGACTTGGAGTCCTTGGAATGCATCGCCCGTTGGACGCTGCGGACGCTCGCGACGCTGCACTGGGCACCCAAGGCCTTGTCGCCCGAGGCGAGGCAGTGTCGGAGCGGAGCCAATGGGATGCGCAAGCAGCGAAGCGGGGTGGACGAGTGGAATCAGGAGACGTGAGGTGAGGTGAGACGTGAGGTCAGTATATGCATATGTACTAGTAATATATGTAACTAAACGTAATACATCTATGTACTATGTCAACATCTCTGTCATCTCTGGAAAGTGTCATCTTTGTCATTTGTGTTCGTCCCAGTGATAAGGTACCAAACACGTGTTCCATTGGCCTTCACACCATCAGGCCCGATGTCACTCATATATGGACCGTTAAAACCTAATGCTCTTCACCAGGACCCGACACCGTGGGGGTGTCTATTTATAGCCCCTGAACGCTGAAGAACACGGGGTGTTCATGTCTACCACCCCGACCGAAGGTCCTGGCAGGTTCGTGACTTTTCAGCCGCTCAACGTTCTTCTCGCGGAGGCCTCCCTGGAAGGTTGGAGCAGTTGGCTGCCTGGCAGTTGAGACCTGGGTGGGCTCCCAGGTTGGGTGAGCTCCGCAGGTAGAGACCTGGGTGGGGTATAGACTTCGAGTCATTTTTTAATTCCCTGTAATCAGGGAAGTAGAGAAATAACTGGTTTGGTAGTTGGTAGTCGGAAAATTGGTCTTCCAAGAGCACTATGTCATGATGTTCCACTTCCATATAGTTTTCAATGATTTTTTCAGGGAGTGTACTGCAGACCATGTTGATTCTGGTTTTGGATGCGATTCTAATTTTCTTTGGCGACACTTGTGTGCATGGTTGAGTATTGCCCTGTGGGTACTTGCCAAGCCATGATGGTTTAGCCAACTTCCCACTTCTCTCCATTGACTTAGGATTTTGATGGATTTTGTGAAGATTTTGTGGAGCCTCGTTCAAGTGATGTTGCGTTGACCTGCAGAATAAGAGTTCCAACACTGTTTATACTGACCAAACCCCAAATTCAATAAAACTTGATTCTGCGATATTCTGCGATGGACCTTTTTTCACCTGACCTGCCGAATCACCTGACCTGCCGAATCCTTTTTGCAATTTCATCGCCAGCTGGCGATGAGGTTCTGCAGCTGGGATGCCTTGCAAGAAGGTTCCCTCAGCCGTGGCACCTTGGCACTGGCACTAGGCGAGCCGGGGGAAGTCGTCCGAGGGTCCATGGGACTGGAAGAGATGGCCGGATCAGTCATTGATAGGTCAATGTACAGGGTCAATACCAGGAGTCACGTTCAACGGGGTGGTGTGGCTCGTCCCCTTACACCCCAGCCACCTCCATGGATAGCACATGATAGCACCCCGTCTTGTGACTGCAGGATATATGTCATGCATGGATGGTTTGGGGATTGGATTTCCAGAAATTCCACGTTCCAAGAGTTTCAACAGGGGTGCTAGACATGGAGGTACAAAGGGGTGCCCAAACACCACCCCGTCGAACGTGACCCCTGGTTAATTGTTCTTGTTCTACCGCTGGGGGGGTCCGCCTTCAGAATGCTTTGGGGTCCGAGCTGCGGAGGGATCTCCCCATCTCCGGTCTGTCTCTCAGTCGCTCAACAGGCATGTGGCCGTCATGTCAGGAGGAACATCTATGGGCCCCTGGGCCCCCTAAAAACCCAGAGAAGCTCAGCAAAACCGAACCTGTTGAGCCCTGGGATCCGCCCTGGGACCCAGAACCTCGTCTTGGCTCGTTGGAAGAAACCTCACGGGGAGCCAAACCTGAGAGCCCTTTTGAGAGCCCTTTGAGCCAACGAAGCTGTCGAACTAACAAGCTCAACACCTAGTCCACTGGCAGAACTGAAGGACCTCTGAGCAACTCTGAGCCTCTGAGCCACAAGCTCAAGGTGAGTGATCCTTTTTTCAGAGGGTGTTACAGCGGTTTCAGAGTAGATGGCACAGACCTCAAGATGTTCTTTGCATGGGGGTTCATACAGGGGTCTGTGCCATCTACTTTGAAACCACTGTAATTTGCATAGTTTCCGGCATGTTGAACTGTTGAAGCACAGCCCAAGCATTACCCTTGCCTTACCCGCCAGTCCACTGGAATCTCATCTCATGCCCATCCTCTCGCAGGTGCTGCGGTCCGCGCACAGGCGGATTTGCACCATGTGGTGCTGGCGGATCCTTTGGAAGAGGCGGTTCGATTCGCTTCCGCCAGACGTGGAAGCCTCATAGTCTTTGAGATCCTCATAGTCTCTGAGAAGGTGAGCCAGGAGACACCTTTTTGGTAGCTAGTGTTGGGTCCAAACACCTAAGGAGCTGCTTGGATCCCCACGGTTTGATTGTATTTGATTGTTGGGGGGAACGCTATGGATAGAGAAAACACTGGAATGATCTGGAATCGAACAGGTTCGCTTTTGTAGACTTGTTTGGCGTCTGAGGTGGAGCAACCTCTTGTCCAAAGTTGACCCCACAAAATCTGAGTAAGAATGATATCCTGGACTAACACTTCTCTCCTCCGATGATCAGCATCTCGACTCACATACCCAGACACGACCCATGGGACTGCCATAGGACTGCCTATCAGTTGGGGTGGTGACCGGGGGGGTCGACCTCTGGGGCGGCCGGCATTCCTATGGCAGCCCCATGGGTCGTGTTTGGGTCTAAATGGATCTTTGGAGACCAGATGTCCCACTTTCAGCAGGTCGATGCGATGACCAGAGACCGGACCAGAGACCTGGCATTGGACAGTTGCCTGAATACTCCATCTCAATCTCCGTCAGATGAGTATCAGTATACAAACGTGTACCCTCCCTGAAACAATCATGGCAGTGGAACACAGCCCTGGAAAGACAATGTTTCCTTTGCAAACAGGGCATGGCCCACTTCCATGATTGTTTCAGGGAGGGCAAAAGCTTAAAGTACGAACCACAGATGAGTCAGCATGTTTTTTTTCAATGAAATGATTGATGACTATATAGTCTATAGCACTATAGTACCATATAGTACTGGTAGTTCCCCAGCCTCCCTGCCCGCCTTCGCGGGCCTTGCGGCGTCGGCTGCGGGAGGTGTTCGGTCACCGGGGGGGGAACCGGGGAACCGGTCCTTTTTAACGGTTCCGCGGTTTGGAGCGAAGGGAGGTATGAGAACGAGCGAGCCAACGGAGCGAGTGGAGCGCATGGATGGAGTTGCGGGTGAAAGAAGCAGCAGGATGGAGTGGTGCAGGGTGCAGATGCGAAGGAGCAATGCAACGAGAGATGTGCCGCAGCAGGTTGACTGGTTGACAGGCAAAGCATTAGAGAGGCGTTGTCCGTGCAAGCAGAGGAGCTGAAACCAAGTTGGAAAGGCCAATGCGGAAAATTGAAGAACAAGTCATGCGGCTGCCTTGCCGCGTGCCTCCTTCAGAAGAACTGAGGATCTGCGAGTGTGTTCAGACTTGAGTGTCAAACTAGCCTTTGAACTACAATTGGATCGACAGGGTGATGCAGATTGATACAGGATTCTTATGCCACCAGACCTGCATTGTTGCAGATCAGCTAGGGAAGAAGAGTGAATCGAGCCGCTTTGGCAGATTTCCTATTGGCCAAGAATCGTTCATCACACACCAAGACGTTTTTCCATGGCGACATCATGTGAATGTGGCGTCAAGCGAGTCAAGTGTCAAGCACCCCTCGAAAGCTATACAGACAGGCAGAATCAAATAGAAATATTCATTACATTCCCCCAAACTGTGGATGGCATGGTCCCAACGATCTTTTGAGGGGATTCGTCGTTCTCCGAGTGAGGGATTCGTTGCGAGACGCCGCTCCCGGGGTCTCCCTGGAACAAGACCCTGGAAAACCTTTTACGACACAATTGGTTGGATTGAATGATGGAGGGGATGCCCCCAAGTGCACAACCAACAGGTACCAAACTGATACCAATAGGCACTAAACGGTCCAAACTGACTGTCGATAGTGCTTATTTGACCTCCGTCTTTGGAGCGCAAGACCAGAACCTTGACCTCTTTTGACTTCCAGGTTCCCTGGCAGTCAGAGGGCTGGATTCCGAGAACCTCCGTATTTTCGGCAGGTCTTACCCTTGCTGTGCTCGGAAATGGGGGAGCTCGAGACCATCAGCCTGGCACGCTTTCTGGGCAGGGAAGCCCGACGGTCATCAGTTTCCATGGTTTTGCGGCGTTGCGGAGGGAAGTGTTGAGAAGCATGACTCATCAGTTCTTGGAAGGTCTCGTGCAGAAGCATGGGTGGTATTTTTGGGCAAGCACGGTTAAGGGCAGTTCTGAATTTGAGTCATAGTATGTCATAGTGCAATATAGTTATAAGTTATAAGACATATTTGTTAAACACTCCACAGGCACCCCATTGGTAGGTTTGAGCAGGTCTAGGTCTAGGTCAGTTGCGGGTTTTTGGGGTCAAGCATTCTTCGAACCGCATTGGATTCGCCCCGGAATCGAGAAGTTAAGCCACAACAGTGATCTTTGGGATTGGTCGACTAAGTGACGATGAACAAGTGACACCAGTGAAGCCTTGCTTTTCCAAGCAACACCTGAAGGAATCTTTTGATTACGGATATCCAACCCAACTATTCCAAAGAAACATATCCTTTATGAAGCATAGCTGCGGGGACCAGCGAGCTTTGAAAGCTCCCAGAAAGCTCCCGATCACTCCCAATCCCGCAGTGTTGAGGTGATGTGGCTGCCGCTGCCTCGGAGCTCCTGAGGAGTTCAAAGTCAGTGGATCCTTTCGTGATGAAGCTGTAGCTCGGATGTGGTTCTTTACGAACAAAGTTAAACAAATATAAGAAACATCAGGATACCAGTCACGATACCTTCTCTTAATCTCCTTGCCCTTAGTTTGGTTGAACCAACAGTCCCTCAAATGATCTCAGTAAAGCCCGCAAGAAGCACCTCAGGAAGTCCCGCAAGAAGCACATGCAACTCGCTGGATGGACCCCCCCCTCGAGGAGACATCTCTCACCGCGGCCAGCTGTATGGTGGCCCAGGGGCGCGGAGGGAGGTGGACGTGCACCTTCTGGGGTGGCCACGTGCACCTTCTGTAAAATCCATACACCCGGGAAAATGAACATGGAACCTCAAAAATGGACCAGACTGGAAGACGATTTTCCTCTACAAACCCAGTGGTTTTTCAGGTTCCATGTGGACCTCTTCCAGGCCGTGTACCCTGCACGAACTTTTACCCGGTGGAAGTGTAGCCATCCAAGGACCTCGCTCCTTGCTGGTCATCCCTTGATGGGGCCATACCATCCACATATGATGGTTGCAAGTGTAAGCCGTTTCGACACCTTCGCACCCAGCTCAGTCAAGCCACCTCGACAGGTGATGTTTCATGCATTTGCCACATATTATATGGGCGAGTAATGGATTATGACAGATTCATACATTCTACAGATTCTACAGTACTCAGAAACCTCGGATTGAAAACAATCCGATCAACACATCTTCCGGCACTGAGGGGCCAGGATGTTTGTCACATTTTTCCCACCCAGGAAGGTACGTGGAATAGTCTCCTGGAAGAATGGCTTTTGCGTCACACATCCTCAACACCTGCTAAGCGGCCGAAGCCCTTTGATAACCTATAGAATCATCTAAAATCTAGAAGTTGCAAACATCCTCGAGATTCTCAAGACTGAAACTTCTGAAGTCATGTTGAGCCTACCGACCAGTTCGAGTTCTGATGCCAACATGTGCCAACCATCATCCCTTTATAAACTTGAAAGTCATTCAGGGTCTGTGAAACTCCATGAAAACCCATGAAACTCCATAACTTTTAGATCGTTTTGAGTCTGAAACTCCAATGACAGTCATGACTCCTTCCGATTTGGCGACGCGCCCAAGGAGAGTGTGGCTGCGACCCCGCCACCCGAGGCTCCAGAGGCAAGGTGTTCAAGGTTTTCCCTTAGAATCTGTTGGTGTTGTATATGTATTGTCGAATTGATGCTGTCACAGATCGAGTGCTTTTTTGGAACATTTGTTGACAGATGCTGCGTCCCATTTCCCATGATGCGGTTTCACCGGTATCAGAGTTCTGCCGCTCACGCCGGGTGGAATGGGCGCCCTTTCCACCGGTTTTTTTTTGGGGGACCTCAGAGGTCGTCCGGTCGTGCTCCCGCTGGAAGCCGGCGGCGTAGCAGCGGTCGCTCGGCCAGGAGCGTCGTAGCTCGCGCGGAGCTGCCGAAGAGCTGGTGCCGCTGAGTTTCATCGGCGCCTTGGAGGGGGGGAGATGCACGAAACGGCCTCAAACTGGTTTTAAACAGGCTATCCTTTTAAACACCGGGCAGGCGCTGGGTTTGGGACACCCAGGCTGGGGTTCCGGAAGCTTTGCAACAGAACAATCTATGGTGGAAAAACCACTGTCTCTTGGGGTGGTTGTTGCTTGTTATGATTAGAACAGTTGTCAGACTAGGAGAAACTCGACTGATTGGTTCATGGTGGTGCTTTGCACTCTCCTTTTGCACTAGAACAAGCCTCCTACTCTAGTTTGATTGCGCCCTCATGGGCACCATCGGCTCGCGACCTTCAATTCCAAAAAACATAATCCGCGAACTATATTAGACCTTCATGTCGGGGTGTCCTGTGTGGAGATCCACAAGTATTATATAGTAGGGTATTGCAGCCAGGAAACACCTTTGAGGAAGGTGCTGGTTGTATTAGACTTTGCCGATTCTATTTTTTGCATGGATGCCAAGTGGCGCTCCCTCGCTTTCTCCCCGTTGGAGGCCTTTGCGGCCGCCGACGCGTGGCGTATGTGGCGCCGGAGCTGCCGTTGCAGTTGAAGGCGCTGGTGACAGGCGCGTGTGGCGCGGAGGTGGACGAGGAGGTGGAGCTGGGACCTGGTTTTCGGGACGTGATATTTATAGGAAATTGTTGGAATGGCTTCTTGCAGGTGTCTCTAGCTTTTGCAAGGTCTGGAGCATTCTAGAGTCCAGTTTCTGTTCTTTCAGGTATTGCTTTGGGTGTTTGCATCCTTTTTGTGAAGGGGGTTCTTGCAGGGTTTTGGGGTTTGGACATTTGATGTTTTGGAGTGTGTGTCCATGTTCTTTTAGGTGTTGGTTTCAAGATGTTTCAAGATGTTAACCATAATAATTTTGACATTTGCATGTTTACAATGGATGAGGTTGTTGGGTAGCAGAATGTAACAGAGCCAATCAAATACAGACCCTTGTTGTATTGATTGGCTGTTGTGTGATGAAAAAGGATGGACAGATGGACAAAAGTTGCCTCCATCTTTGTCTCAGGCGTGGTGCTTGGGAAACATCACTCAACTTGGAACATATTCCGATGTCAACCCGTTGGTGAACTCCACGAAACCATGATGATTTCAGGGAGTGTAGAGATGATTTCAGGGTTTCACAGCCTAGTCGCGAAAGGATATTTACACAGATCAGATGGAGAATTCGACGATCCTATCCCAGTTGCTCTTTGGGACTCGAGTCTAGTCCCTTCCTTCCGTTTTGCAAGGCTTGGCCGGCGATTCCTTGGGCTTCGCGCTGGCACAGGTGGGACGGATGGATGTTTCGATGTCATGAAGATAGACTTTTTGTCGTACACTGATGTACCAGCACCACCCATTTCGGGTGGATATATATTGGATGAAACGGATGCATCTTCAGGAGGGTCTATGAGTCTACCCGACCTGGGTGGTTCTGGTTTTTTAGGGTGATTTCGGCATTGGTATGATTTCTCGCGTTGTTTGTGATTTGCCAGTGTTTTGTCTTTGAGCAGTTTGGGCACGGTATGTGGCATATGGCATATGGTTGAGTGATGAAGGCGAGCACTTTGATCACGTGTCTTCGCCTTCGCTGTGGTTTCCTTGGCGGCCCCAATTGCATACCGTATTGGATTGGCACCCCACAAAAAAGACGCCCGGCTCGATGTAGAGGAGGATATCCCCCTCCCTTCCCCATCTCCCGCATGTTAGAACTGTTCACCTCTCTCTTTCTCTGGATCTCTGACGGGTGTTCTTCGGTGCCGCACCGGCAGGAAGCCTTGGACTCGGATGGCTTGATGCGCTTCTTTTGGGCGGGGCGCGAACTCCCCCAGGAGCTGGAGCTGGAGATGATGTGGTTAATGGGGTTTTGTAATCTTGTGTATGTGTTTGTTTGTATACAATTCTTTTAGTAATGTAACTTACTTATTTTAAGTGGATGGATGTGGATGGTCTTGATTTTGCAAGGCTGCGCTGGGTCGGTGTTGTGGAATTGGATGGCTTTGACGTGTTTGGGATGGCCATGAGTGGCTTTGCAGCAAAGCCCGCAAATGATTCAACATCAAATGAACACTGCTGGAAGATTCATGCTTGCGAGAAGGGGTTTGGGCACCTTTTTAAGAACAATCAGTTGCCCTGTGGAGTGATGATTGTCCTGAGTTGTAATGACTTGGTCGGACTTTTGTGTCTTTGAGTTTTGTTCAACAAAGTGCACCCTTCTCAGAATGACAATAATTCCCTAGGCGTCCAACAATCATTAATTTAATAGGCTTTACCGAATCAACTAAGGATTTTACACTACAAAAACCAGGTCCACCATTGTTTTAAAGGTCTTGGAAGTCTAGGGATAAGCTTATCCTCACATGTACAGCACAGGTCCTTGGAGGCTTTACTGCATGGACGTTCCATGTCGCATGTCACGTTGGGACCGCCATGTCGCCGAGAGTATGGAAATGGAGACGAGCTTCAAAGACGTCGCGGTCTCCCTGGCACCCTTCGCTGCCTCTCAGAAACCTGACGCATGTGCAAAGGTTTGGCGCCGCGGGCCCCGTCCTCAACAGTATTGTAAGCCCTCACGCGTACGTGTAACCCCGCATCCAGCGCTTCATCAGGGGCTTGTGGGCAAGGGGGTTAAGCATACTTAAGAGCATATTGCTGTGGCCAGAAACTGAGGTAATTAAAGGGAACAAAGGAGCAACACGTGTGGTTTCAGGACTTTTTAGATGTGTTTTGGAATATGGACATGGTCAAGATAGAGTGCGGGAGGTGTAGTGCTTTGCGGGGAGGTGTATTTTGGGTTGTGAGTATCACGAATCACGAATAGACATTGATCTTGCAACATGTGAAAGATCCCAAATGATAGGGCTTCCCAATCATCCGCTTCTACAATGATGTTGGTTCTTGGGTGCTGTTGGGTTTGGGTATGTCTGGGTAGATGCAGCGCTTTTAGACCTGGATCCAAGATCAGTGTGCAGAAATGTTTGTCATAGTTCCTGCTGGGTTCAGGTTGGTCAGTCGAGATGTGGACGGGGCGGCAATATTGAGGGGGGGGCATTCGCACTGCAATAGGATGTTTGCTTTGTTTGCTTTGCTTTTCCCCAGTTTTAGAGAGTCGTCCAACCACTAAAGCGCTGTGATCGACCGCAGAAGGATTTTGCTGAAGAAATGACACACATCTAAGTTGGGTGTAGCCCATTACCAGTAACAGTCAGTTTCAACAATAATTATATGCACTATTTTTGAGACAGGCCTGTAACTGAACCATCATCATCCACTGGGCCCTGGCAATGGGATCTACCCAACATCTAAGGACATGTTTCAAAATCCTCCAGGAAGATGGTTGCATCTCGTGTGACCCTTTGGAGATCATTGATGCTCAAGCAGGCTGGGGATGGACGAAACATCAACTTGAGGCACTGTTTGACTGTTGGTGAATGAAGCCCAATGTAGATGCAAGAATCACTTTGTTGAGGAAAGAAGCTCTGCAGATGTAGGGATTTTCCTCTAATGCCCGCTTTGGGGCTGACTTTCACTATCGACAGCAAGATGGTTTAGGTTTTGGCATAGAATTATGTGAGATGCTGCCTCTACCGTCCAGCAATATCAGCAATATCACGTTCTATTATATTGGAACCCACGTGATTGTGCACCATATCCTACAAAGCTTCTGAGTGAATGCTCTTACTATCATCACATCCTACGCAGCCTTTCATCACTGCCCACTTCGACTGAAAAGCCTCTAAAGTTGCCAGCCAATCTACCAGAACATACTACCACCCAGTGATCACGAAAGCTAGCCTCAGCTAGCTGAAGTTGCTCTTGCTTGCGCACGCCTCCCCGCCCGGCTAGCTTTCGTTCACCCCCTTTGGCCTCAAGGATATATGTCTCCCACTTCTTACCCGATCTTCACCTTGGCATTGGTGCACTCCCACCACCACCCCCCCTTCTGGTCCAACTCTCCCAACACCCCAACCGGTCTAGCCGTTTGTGTCGACTCGAGGCGATCGCCTGCCCTTGAGCCTCCTCCGCGAGGCGCTGCAGGGCGTCGCCCACTTTGGCCGCCGCAGCCAGGCGCGCCTGGCGCTCCTCGCCGCCGCGCTGGTCGGCGATCACGACGAGGCGGCGAGGACGGCGGAGGGGCTGCGGCGGGCGGCGGAGGTGGCGGAGATGAGGTTGAAGAAGCTGAGCACAGGTGGAGATGGAGGCCTGGGACTGACCAAAGATCAGAATGTTTCCACTAGCAGACTAGCAGTGTAGTCTTGTGTCCGGCCACCCCCTGGCAGGTGCTGCGGATCGTGGCCAGGACACCGTGAGATCCGCCCCACCGAGCACCGCGCCACCGGCCGCGGCACCCGAGCCCTCGGACACGGAGGAGGACGTCAGCTGGTTCTTTGATGCGGAGGTGGCGGAGACCCTCACGGGGCCAGTAGTGGAGGTGCTTCGAAGTGAAGAGCTTCAGGAGGCCATGTGTGGAGGATTTGCTCATATGTTTGATAATCAAGCAACTTGGATGTTTTTGGATGTCCTGTGTCTTAAATATGTTTTTTGGATGGTATTTTGGTACATCCTTTCTTCTTGGCGAAATCTGGACGGAACTCTGGAGCTTCATTGGCCCGTGGGTGACAAGAACCTCGGGCCACCCTTGGTCATTTCCAGCTTCCCTGCAGGCTGTTGGAGCAGCATCACCCGAGCCACCCACCGACGACGACGCCGTGGCTTGCCTCATCGCGGAGCTCCGCCAGGGCGGTGGTGCCACGATGTCAGCGATGGCGCAGAGCGGCAGTGGGCGTGGGCAGCAGTGCTTCGTGTGGCTGGGGCAGTGCTGAGTCCATGTTGTTTTGGTGATTGACTGGGTGTGAAGATGAGTGGAGGATGGAATGAGAAGCCAGGGATGAACAGGAAGGAAGTAGGCGGTGTGCACTGACTCGGAGTCGGACTCTGCAACAAAACATTTGTGGTGAATGACAGATCGATAGTGACTAGAACTGTGTCGATCCACCTTGAAGGCTTCATGTGATTTGTCTTCCTGGAGTCTCAGTTCATACCTCGGAAAATGGGTACAAGTATATGATATACCAGTCGTACCTTTTTTGTATGGGGTCATGTCACGTCATGTCCCATTTTCTAAGGTACTTGAAGGAGGGTCCAGGTTTGCATTTGGCATTTATGCTTCATGATTCACTTTCAGATGTGGCACCTCGCGCATCATCCTGCAGATGACACTTCGATAAACAGAGGGAGACATCTCCCAGCTTCATGGCTTTGTGACATACGGTTTATCATGCCACCTTCCCTCATCATGCCTGGAGCTTCATGGCCTTTTCGGCCCTCTCACCTCTTAACCTCCTCACCTCTCAGCCCTCCGCCCTCATATCAAACTCCCAACATCTGCCAACCTGTCCCGGAGAGGCCGTTCTTTTCCTCCTCCACCTCCTCCTTCACCTCCTCCACCACCTCCTCCTCCACCTCCTCCACCTCCTCCTCCTCCGGATGTCCTATACGTTCCCTGTGTTCTTCGTTCCCCACCGCATGAGACCTCAGGTATGGCCGCTTGAGACCGGTGCAGCCGCGAAGATCGGTGCTGCCAGGGGTGGTGTGCCATCTTCCGCAGGACTTCGTGTCTGCACGCGGTGAGGTCGTGGCGGCTGGGACTGGTTGTGGGGGGTAACAAGGTCAGGTGATCATGGCAAATATGGCCAGAAAGCTAGTGGTGAATCAGGCTTCGCCATCCAGACCTGCGTGTTGTTTTTCTTCAGATAGTATTTGTTCAGTTTTGGGAACATGAAAGATTCACCTGGCCTTTATCCATATTTTTTCATGGATAAAATTGCTTGCAAGACATGAACAGTTCGTTGTAAGAATCCTGCACATTGGATTCTAGTCCTTGCAGTTTTGCTCTTTTTGCCATCCATCGGCCTAGACCTCCCTGCGCTCCACCACCGGCTTCTCCGTGGCGCGCTGCGCGCTGCTGGACGCCAACTTGACACTGGCAGCCTATGAGAGCTCGGCCCCAGCGCTGCGGCGCATTAGGGAGGTGTACGTCCAGGAGACGCGACGCGGGTCTAAGGGATTGAGGGCGGCGAGGAGCCCCATGATGGCAAGGATGAAGCATCAGCTCGAGCTCCTTCATTGCATGGTGGTAGTCGATGTGTTTTTGTTGTTAACAAGACTTGGGGATGTGTTATGATGTGTTTGTATGTTCAAATGGTGTTGTTCATAGCGGTTGGATTCGATCTTCAAAAGCCAGCTGAACCGAACAAGGTTGGTGACATTGTCCATCACTTTAGCAGCAAAAGTTTGGGCCGGGGTTTGTTAAAAGGCTTTGAGGAACATGCTCAAGAGATTGTTCATACAATACAGGACCAGCACATAAGACACACCAAGGCAGCTGAGAAACAAGAAACCAACCGCCCCGGTCGTTGGCGCGCAGGAGCCGGAAGAGACACTTGGAAGGCAGGAGATGGAGAGAGAGGGCTTGGGAAGCCAGATTCGATGTAGGATTCAACAACGCCGCACAGTGTCCAGATGTTTCCTGATGGCGTTGGTGTCATCTCCCAGACGCGACCTGTTTGGGACTGCCATAGGACCATATAGGACTGCCGATCAATTAGGGTGGTGGTGACCGGGTGTGTGTGTCTTTCTGGAGCAGCATATATAATATATATATATATATTGGCCGTCCCAGACAGGTCGTGTCTGAGTGGGCTGTCTTAGACAGTCCCAGACAGGTCGTGTATATGGGACATGCTATCCCCACAAAAAGCGCCCGAAAGCACACGATGTCCACCTCACCAGGCCGACGCTCTTCTCGGTCGCGGACCAGCGCGGCCAGCGGCTGGCTCAGCAGATCCGGGCACTCGGTACCTTCGGCGGCACCGGCACCGAGAACGTGGCCAGACAGGTCGGTGGAGCATGGGCGACCACGGCTCTAAGACCTGCAAACAGTGGCAACCGTTAGTGGCGGTTCAGGTTTGATGGCCTGCCTCTAGCATGATACAGTGGAGGCATCATGTGTTTAGCGTGCAAGCCATGCACTCCGCCGCAAGCAACAGGGTTAAAAAGGAAAACATCATGGATTTATTTAGTCGTGTTCTTAACAACGCTTCAGATTATGTTTGACTACCTGGAACAACCTTTATACATATTTTAGACTACCACTTCCCAAACAGCACACTACCACTTCTCAGGAACAGGCCTTTAGGGTAGAAGAACCTCTATGGCGCTCATACTGCAGTGATTCCATTGGATTTCACCATAGCAGCTACTAGCATTTTCCCAATATCACACACTATATTAGATATAATTTGTGACTTTTCGTGCGTGACTACTGTATTTGCGCCCAAATCCAAGCCACATGGCTGGCTCCCATCCCGGAAACCATCAGCCAACTCCAAGGCCACCTGGGCATTGAAGCCTTGCTCCTTTCCGGCGACGCCTCCGACAGCGTGCTGAGCGCCGGCCGAGCGGCCGGGCTCTTGGTGGCTGCAGGGATCCCTGCGCGGCTGCTCTACGCGCTGGCTGAGGACTGTGGTGCTCTAAGCTGAAAGGGTGTCAGACGGGCTGGTGCGACCCGATTCGCAGGGAGGTGCTTCTGGAATAAGGTAGACTCTTGAGGACCATAAACCCCTCCCTTTGAAGCGGATGTTCAATTCAACTGGGGGGGGTGTATGAATCAAGAGTCTACATTAGTATAGCCAATCAATATAGCATATATCGATCATGTCGTGGGTCGGAGAACCATGCCGCGGGGCACCCAGGCACCCCATTCATTTCTTTTTGAGCCCGGGGACGAAAACGTTCCAAAGAGAACCCCAATCCCCGGCCACCTTTGATTGGTACGAATGTCCTTTAAGGTAAATTGGTGTCATGGGGCTGTGACAATGAAAACCGAGAATATTTACAATGCAACGCAGAAAGAAGCAGTAGGAAGAATCGACATGTCTCTCATGCGAGCAAGAAACAAGTTGCTTTGGGGCGGTGCTAGGCAAAGGCCCCAATCTAGAAACCTAAGGGCTGCAAGTTGTTTGGCAATGATTTGTCCTTTTACCACTTGCCACAAAGTGTTGCTACTTGGCCAAGTCCCTACCACTCCATTGGCATTTAGCTTGTGAGGTGCCACAGTGCTACGTGGCTTGCCCGACCTTCCTGCGACCTATGCCTACATGCCCTGGGAGTCACAAAAGCCACTGCAGATTCAGATTGCCGAGCTGTCCAAGAGCGAGCGAAGACACAACTTTTGCTTTCCTCTCATCGGGCATCGTGACTCTCTTGCAATGTGGTGCAAAGCAGTCCTCCTCTTTTGGACCCATGTTGATGTTGTTTTTGCTCCAACTTATGACTCTGATGCACGCTTCTGCAAGCATTTGGATGTTTGTAGGTCAATCGCTTCTCCCTCAAGCCTCCACGGATCTTGATGCTCCTTTCTATGAATTCTTCGCTTCCTCCACCTCCACCAGCTCCACCGTGCTCTTGGAAGCTCCCTCGGAGCCCCAGCTGCGCCAGCTCTGCGCCCAGCTCACCGACCTCCTGGCCCCGCCCTCCGCGCCGCTGCCCGCGCCCTGGCCGCGGCGCCTGGCCGAGGCCCTGGACGCCGACGCCCTGGACGGCGAGGGCGAGGAGGGCGTGACCGCGGCGTGGGTGCGGCCGGCGGATCCGTTGGGCGACCGGGCGGCGCGGGGGAAGTTGGCAGAAGCCTTGAGGAGGATGGCAGGCGCCGGTGGGTGAAGTGGAAGCAGCACCATTGTTGCATGGGTATGTTAAGTTGCTTGGGGACCGTCGTTCGTTGTTTCGGGGGAATTAGCGCAGAAGAAGTGTTTTTGACCCTTGCGGACCTCTGAAGAATTGGTTGTTCAGAACTAAGAGAGGGTATAAAACACGTCTTGTTTTTTTTTTTTGCGTTGTTAGTGGCAACATACGAGACCCAAAGGACTATTTCATAGGTTTGTTTGTCTCGTGAGTGGTGAGTGAACGGCCATGGTAAAAGCTTTGTAGACGTTGTAAACCTTTGTAAGTTTGTTTGTAATTCAACAACTCTGTCAACTCTTTGCAAAAGTTGCAAACTTTGTACAAATTCTTAAGACTTTGTGAAAGTTTTGTAAACTTTGTATAACTTTGTAAAAATACAAAACTTTGTAAACGTTCTAAAAACTGTGTAAAACGTTGCTCTAACTTTGAAGAATAATTTGAAGAACTCCAAAACTTCGTAAAAGTTTTGTAAACCTTTTTACAAAGTTTGCGAACTTTACAACGTCTTAATAAAGTTTTACCAAGTTCTTACACAGGTTTACAAGTTTAAAGGTTGACAAAGCTTACAAAGTTTGACAAAGTTTAAAGATGTTTTACAACGTCTACAAAGTGTTGACAAAGTTTACCAAGTTTATACCAAGTTCACTACGTTTTTACAAAGCTTTCAAAGTTGGTACAAAGTTTACAAAGTTTTACACAGATTTTATGAAGTTTGCAAAGTTTTACAACCGTTTACCAAGTTTACAAAGTTTTACAAAGTTTACAATATTTTTACACAGTTTGCAAAGTTTTGAACAATTTCCAAAGTTTACCCAGTTTACAAAGGTTTTACCATTAAAAAATCAATTAAAGACGTATTGAAAGTTTTACAATGTTGCTGCAATGTTGACAAAGTTTTTACAAAGTTTACACAGTTTTGCAAAGTTTTGAAAGTTTACAAAGTTTGTACAAAGTTTATAAAATCTTTACACAGATTGCAAAATTTACAATTTTACAGGGAGTTTTTTCAAAGTGTACAAACATTTGCAAACTTTACATAGTTTACAAGGCTTTCACAAAAGTTGCAAAGTTTATACAGTTTACAGAGTTTTTGCACAGCATTGAAAGTTTACAACGATTTTAGAAAGCTTTGGAATTTGACAAAGTTCTTGCAAAGTTCGGAATTTTCACAGTTTTTCAATTTTTACAGAGTCTACAAAGTCTCACAAAGTGTTTACAAAGTTTTCAAAGTTTTTACAAAGTTTACAAAGTTGTACAACGTTTTTACAAAGTTTACAACAGCTTTTTCAAGTTTACAAAGTTTTTACAAAGTTTACAAAGTTTTTACAAAGTTTACAAAGTTTTTACACAGTTTACAAAGTTTTTACAAAGTTTTTACACAGTTTACAAGGTTTTTACAAAGTTTACAAAGTTTTACAAAGTTTACAAAGTTTTTACAAAGTTTTTACAAAGTTTGCAAGGTTTTTACAAAGTTTTTACAACGTTTACAAAAGTTTTCAAGTTTGCAAAGTTTTTACAAAGTTTTTACAAAGTTTGCAAATGGCTGGTGGAAAACACTTATGTTTACAACAAATGACATGAAAAACACTTCTTTTCAAGCAAAAAATCGTGCAAAAACACTTCTTTCACAGAACTTTACAAAGTTTTACAAAGTTTTTACAAAGTTTACATAGTTTACACAGTTTTTACAAAGTTTACAAAGTTTTTACAAAGTTTACAACGTTCTGACAAAGTTTGCGACATTTGCCTTTTGTTACACAAATTTACAAAGTTTTTACAAAGTTTACAAAGTTTTGAAGATTTTGGAAAGTTCACACAGATTTTGCCAAGTTTACGAAGTTTTGCAGAAGTTTACAGAGTTTCGACAAAGTTTACAAAGTTTTGACGACGATTACAAAGTTTTGATAGTTTATTTATTTGCAAAGTTTACAAAGTTTCTTTCTACATTTTACAAGGTTTTTACAAAGTTTGTACAGTTTCACAATTTGTACAAAGTTTTGAGAAATTTACAGAGTGTTCAAAGTTTACAAAGTTTTCACAACGTTCACAAGGTCTTTCAAAATGTTTACAATGCTTTGACAAAGTTTACGAAGTTTAAAAACGTTTTACAAAGTTTGCAAAGTGCTACGAAGTTTATAACGGTCTTTTTTAAATAGAGTTTACGAAGGCCTACAACATCTAAAAGTTTACAAAGTTTACAAAATGTTAGTACAAAGTGTACAAAGTTTGCAATGTTTACAAACTTTTTGACAAAGTTCACAAAGTTTTGACAAAGTTTACAAGTGTTTACAAAGTTTTGACAAAGTTTTCGCATTTTACAATTTTTTACACAAAGTTTTCGCAGTTTTTTACACAGTTTTACAAAGTGTACAAAGTTTTTACAAAGGTTTACGAAGTTTAAAGTGTTTCAGTGTTTAAAAAGTTTACAATTTTAACAACAGTTTACAAAGTTTTGACAAAGTTTGCAAAATTTGTTCAAAGTTTACAAAGTTTCTGAATTTCACCAAAGTTTCTACAAAGCTTACACAGCTTTTACAAAGTTTACAAAGTATTTACAAAGTTCTTACAAAGTTTACAACGTTTTGCAAAGTTTTCAAATAATAAAGTTTACAAAGTTTTGACACAGATTGAAAAAAACCGAAACTTTGTAGAAAGTTTGTAAGCATCAAAAACTTTTGTAAAAGCTTTGTAAAAACTTTTAAACTCAATAACTTGGTATCAACTTTGTAAAATTCCAAAACTTGTTCAAAGCTTGATAAATGTCCAAAGCTTTGTTCAGATATCTAAAGGTTCAATACTTTGTAAAAACTTCGTAGTTCCAAAGTTTTGTAAAATTCAATGTACTGTAAGTTTCCAAAAACTTTGTGAAGTTTGTTATTTCTATCTTTAAACTTTGTAGACTTTGTTAAAACTTTGTAATGCAAAAACTCGGTAAACAAGTTGTAATTCCAAAACTTTGTCAGATTTTTGTAAAGATCCAAAACTTTGTAAACACTTTGTAGGAAGTTTGTTTGAAGACCTGCGAAAGCTGTTCAAGAAGAGCTGATCTTTGGATTAGTGAGACTGCTTGCATTTTTTTGTTTAAAAAACGGCATTTGGTGCTTGCGCTTTGGGAATTTGTGACTGATGGCTGTAGTGTTTCAGGGTATTGAGGGTGCGAAGAAGGGTCGAATGGTTATTGGTTGTGCAAGTGTTTTAAGACTTGGCCACGGAAACACCAAAACACTTCTTTCATTTTTTCCAAATAACATTGGTGCAAAACACTTCTTGCGAGCAAAAACACTAAACTCAAGCAACTTAACACATGGGTATGTTTAACATTGTTTTATACTGTAACTATTATGAGTTAGAGATAGTATGAGATAGTTCAAGTGTAAGATTAATACAGATCAATGAATTGCATATGACACGATAGACATTTGCATATATTTGCATCATGTGTTGGAGTTGCACCCGGACCACTGAGTGAACCCTTGGACCAAGCTTCCCTTTATCCCTTATCCCCAGACTTGGAAGAAGACCTTCGCTCTGCCAACGACGACCAACTACCCGATGACGACGGCGATGGCCTCGACGCCGCGTTGGCCGTGGTACGCCGGGCGACACGGCTGGCGGAGCTGGTGGCGCGCTGCACGTGGGATGACTGAGGTATTCGACACGAGTGGCGGTTGAGTCTGAAGACATAGAGAGGCAGCAGAGAATGCCACTGAACGACTCTGAGTCAAAGTCTAAGACTCACCAAACTCTTCCAGAAGAGAGCCGCAGATGAAGATTGGGGAGTCGAGCTGGGCGTGAAGATGTAGGCCAGCGGTCGACCTTGGCCAGTGTAGCTTGCTTGCACCTTGGCGGCGGCGTGTGCACCAATTTGGCGCCTGTGGATATCGTAATGCCTCGGGCTGAAGTGGAAAGAGTCAAGGCGGAGATTGGTGAAGACGAGCAGTTGCATCCAGAGAGTCTTGGTGGCCATTGATGTTGGGAAATCCTATTCAGCTTATATGAGGCCATATATACTTGATTATTACAGATGTTCTGAACTATCCTATATAATTGTAACAATTATGTTGATCATGCTCCATTGGCAATTGGAGGTCATACATGTTCCCCAAAACACTGCTCTCAGACTGACTTTGAGAGAGAGAAGCTCCAAACATCATCATTAAGTATTAATTGAGTGCATGTTCTTCACCGCGGAAGCTGTGTGTGGGTGCCGGACGTCGCCCAGGACTACGAAGCAAATGAGCTCCGCTGGTAGCTCCGGAACTTGAGCCGCGCTGGAGTGGTGAAGTGTGGCGGAACGTGAGCCGCACAGGGAAGGTGAGAAGGTGCAGCGCCACAAAAAGATGCGTTTGGAGAGTGCCCACTTAGAGGAAATGGTCGAAACCACTGGTCAATTCTTAGGTTCCATGATACTCGTAGCTCATGAAAATGCCGAGAAAGACTTCCCCCTCATGCGTATTTGCAACATACATCCAAAGACCATTCTTGCCTTTGAAAAGGTGGGACTAGGGTGGGTGCCAGTGTCGGGTCCAGTCATACCTTTTTGATGAAATTACGACTGGAGCTCCAGGGTATCAATCACTTAAGTTGAACCCTTGAAGTACTGGAGTCCTAGGGTATCAATTACCAGACCCTTGGGAAGTTGAGCCCTTCAAGTCTCCCCAGCACCGTCTCTCCAGGAGGGCCCTGCCACCCTGCGGGACCTGGGCCTCTTCGGCGGGAGCGCAGTGCTGGTGCTCACGTGCCACCCGGGAGGGACAGGGATGGCGGAGCTGTTTTGGGGGGGAGGGTCATGGAGATGACGTCGTTTCATGCAGGCATGCTGGTCTTTTGGTTGCTTTCAAGTGTGACTTCAAGATACTGAAAAGGCATATAGGTGGATATATATTGGTAGACCCTTCAAGTAAGACATGTACACCTAGGGACCTAGTAGATCCTAGTAGGACCTGTTGTTTATGAGCTGTCCTTAGAGGCCAGCCCTCCATGCCCCTGTGTCTTCATCCTCTTTCTTCCTCCGATGATGCGGCCAGGTCGGCGACGGCGCAGAACGAGAGCGACAAACCGCGAGGCCTCGCAATGAATGGAGTTGGGGTGTCCGGGGTTTCTAGAAGCCATGTTGCTGTTTCTCTTTGGGTTGGGGTATGTGATAGACTTCAAGACTTCTCAAGTTGTTTACTGTTGGTGTGTAAACAGCCCCACTGGTTTTGGCAAAGAAGTGTCACTTGTCAAAGCTGCAGGGTTTGGAGAATGGAAGGTTAGAGTTCCCTTGCCTTCCATGCTAGTGCTGGCGAACCGGCCAAGCTTGAATACAAAACTATCCTCCCAGAATTGTGAAGGGTTGTGGTAGGCAACATACATATGCCGCCCACCACACACCTCCATAACATGTACACAGTTATTTGTAAGTTTGTTTCAGCTGCTTGGATTTCTCCGATCTCGTTGGGTACGCTGCACCCGAAGCCCCAGCCAGGCTGAATGGTTGTGACCACCCTTTTTCAGCCCCCCCCGAGCCAGGCTGTACCGGACCGAATGGATCGAACATGATCGAATTGTCATGCTAAGAAAACCCTTCCACCGGAAGACACGCATGGCCCCAGAAAACCGGCATCCTCTCAGGGCTGTGCCACCTGTGCCACCCTGGCAGGTCTCATGTCCGTTCTCGACTTCTGGCTGCCGCGACTTCAGGCGGCTCGCAACGCGTGGGATGCAACGGATGCAACGAGACCATCCCAAAACAGATGTCCCACTGCCAGAATCAGGCTTCAAGAATCAATCCAACAAGCTCGATGGTCAGTGGGAGCTGGCACATTGGCACATTGTGGGAGTCGGATGGAATGATTCGCTGAGATTTTGCCAAGCTAAGCAGCTAAATGTCCTTGTGAGATATCACAAGAATGCCCCCCCCCGTGACTTCCAAGATCCTCAAAGCAATGTTATAGCAGGTTGAGAGTAGAGACCCCCATCGGGTTGTGCAATTTTACTCCGAAACCACTGTAGCTTGATAAAGGGTGGTCCAGGGTTTCCCTTCAGCAACCTCAAGGAGGCATTGTGCGTTTGATCAGGCTGGGCTTTCGCAACCAGACAGGAACACTATAAGTTGTGCAGTCAAAAGTGCAAGACACAATGTATTTTTGCGTGACGGCCTGAACATTCTTTTTGGGTGGGCTTAAACCTTGCTTGTACCTGTATTCTAAATTCTAGCTGGTGTCTCTGTGTGTGTGCTGGACATTGGCACATGTCTTCCAACCCAAGAGATTCAAGTATACTGCAAGTCCTGCAGATACTCCAGTATCGAAACGACTCAACACACTACAGTTCCATAGTTTCACACCCAGCCTATTCGCTTCCGCACGAGCCACGGCAGGCCGAAGAGCAGACCTTGCTGACCCAGCTGCCCCTTCGCAGCTGGGCAGCCGGGCTGATCCTGATCGCCCTGACGCAGCTCCGCTGAGCGCCCGAACCCCACTGGTTTCGTGCCTTCGTTTTCGTTCCCGCCGTCGGCGGTGGAGAGCACGGGCGGCGTGGTTGCGACGCATTGGTTGGAAGAAAAGGGAGCGTTCGGTGGGCGGGGAAGGCACCAAGAGCGGTGATCTTTGGGGAGGTGCAGAGTCAGAACTTCTACTAGATACGGATAAGACATAGATTGTAAGCGCCATCAGTGTTTGTTGGAAGTGAAAGAGGGTGGTGGATGGTTTTAGAATGTCTTAAAGAGAAATCAAGAGGGTGGGTTCCCATTGATGGAGATTCTTCCAAAACAAGTTTGCTTTGGAGGTTTGTGTCGCCGGGCACCCCTCTCACCCGCAAAAGAAGAACAACTTGCCACGTTTGGCTCAAAAAGACCTTGAAAGACAATTTCCAACAAGCACGTGTACTTCCCACATGCCATAGCCGCTATAGCCATAGCCCTTTTGATCCCTCCTACACGTCAAAGACCCCGCCCACGCTCTTGGGACACCCGGTCCACAGGCGAGGAGAAGGCGGAGTCCGAAGCCCCTGCTGAGGTGCCGCGGGTGGTGCGAAACGGCGGGGGGCATCAAGACCAGTGGGTTCTTTGGGGGTGATCAACCGTCCGGTTTTGACCAGGGTTCCAAGACAGTGTTAATAAGTTTGTTGGGTGATCAAGACCCGTTTGTTTCTTTTTATGGGACTCCCAGGAACTGGGATGCTGCGTGCTACATGTGTTGGGGGGTGTCAAGTTATGTCAAATGATGTCGTATGTTTGGTGATGAAGCTGGTGGGCAAGACCAAGAACCGAACCCCCTGTGGCGTCACCAAGGGGCGTCTTCTTTTTCTTTGCTGTTGCATGCTGCCATGCTAGGGGGCATTGTTCTTTGGAACCTTTGGCTTGGTGTGTAAGAACTGGTGCATGGTATAGGGACGTTTCTCGAATGGCAGCACCTTGTGACATATATGGAGATTGACTACAGGGTGATCTCGGTCATGCAGTTGCTGCTGACAAGGAGGCAGAGAAGAAGGATGAGAAGGATTCCGATGATGAAAAGGAGGCAGTGGAAGCTGTAGGACTTGGATTCTTGCGTTTTTGGGTGGAAAGGACGTCAAACATTATTGATATTCACAGGTTTGATATCATGTTGGAAGGTCCCCACATCTAAGATCACTTTCAGCCCGCCTTCATCCGCCTTCATGTCCCTTTCGTTCCCATGACCTTTGCTCCACATGACTCCAGGCGAGTGAACTGGCTGATGGATATTGGAGTGGCTCACCATGACTCACCTTATTTATGTTGTGCGTTTAGTTGGGGAACTCCATCGCATCCGGTCTTTGTGGATACGACACGTTCTGCGTTTTCTTCCGACGAGCTGAATGATGCAGCTGGTGACTTCCCTGCCGAACACCGCGCCGCGACGGCTGCACACCCGCCCGGTGCTGAACACGCGCCAGGCAGAGAAGAAAGACAGTGTCACGACAGCGGTTCAGAAGATGTCACGACTGAGTCTATAACCCTTCTCAGAACTCGTGGGCCGAGTCCGCACCCAGTTTTGGGGGCAAAGCCCTTCTATATACGTGGAATTGGAGCCAAGGGTTCAAAAGGGTGGTATGGATTTTTCGGAAGGCCCTCCTCACCGCATGGCTTTGCAGTGTCCAACAGGTGTCCAATATGTTGATCATGTGGCATATGATTCTCTTAAAGGGACACCAGTTGCACTTCAAATAGCATGCTTTGCTAAGTGATCCCTTTGTGTCTTGGGCGGGCCCTTCCCAGACGCGACCTAAAGGTGCCTAAAGGATCTTGAAAGCACAATATTTATCCAAAAAGCCTTCCACCGTGACGTGTTCGTGAACGGATTCGCCAATAGATTCGATGTGATTTAATAAATGAATCGCATATATATATATATACAGTCAATTGATGTCCCAACCAATCCCAAGAAGTGCCGCAGCAGCTATTCGTGAATGGATTCGGTCGTCCCAGGTGATGAGGAAGACGAGGCAAAAGCCAAAGCAGACAGCTCCGAGGCCATAGCGGGCGGTGCAGGTAGCAACAGAGGTCGATCTGTGGGGGACCTTTGCTTTTGGAAAGGTTCTGCTGAAATTGCATTCGCTGAGAAAACAACAAAGAACTACAAATAGGTTCCTGTTGTTATTCAAGTTCTATTTGGTTTGTGTGGGACCTCTGCTAGCATTCGCGTGCGGCGCTGGGCTTGTGTTGGAGAGTTGGACCATTGGCCGCTCCCCACCCTCCGACGCGTGGAGCATCTTGCGGTGGCTGAGCTGAGTGTTTGAGGACGAGGGTTCCAAGAAGAAGGAGGAGGAGAAGGCAGCTGCAAAGGACTGACTTGGCAACCTGAATTATACAGTCATAGACTTCGATGTGAGGGTTTTGGCTGGGGTGGATGATGGCGGAAGAGCATCAGGAGCTTTGGGATGGATTCAGCATGATTCAACTGTCAGCATCGCTTTTGGATGTTGGGGGCATCACCTGTGTTGAGTGTGGTCCTTTCTGCAAGCATGCAATGGTTGACCATGTTCGACCCCAGTCCACCTTGCCGCAAACGGTCCCCCCTCTGAATTTCAGCACTTCCAGTGCAGATCACCAACATTGGCCCTCAAGTTCTCCTGCCACTTCTTCCATGCAAGCACCAGATTGACCAAGCACCCACAACACTCCGAAAGAACACGCCGCACACGGAATCTTGACAACCCACAAGTGGTCCTTCGTACCCAGGAAGGTCCCTTCGTCTTCCTTTCGGGGCCATCCGTTCTCGTTCCATGCTACTTGCTCAGTCTCAGTGTAAAACACGGCGGAGGAGAGTGACAGCGAGTCGGAGGATGCCAAGCCCAAGGCGAAGGCTAAGAAGGTGGGGATCTAACCAGGGTGACCAATTGGACAATGACCTCTGGCGATCTCTGGTGGATTTTTGGAGTATCAGGGTCCTTAACTACACCCCGAAAGTTAAAGAATGTCCATTTGTTTCAATTTAAAAGAAGCTTCCGCTGAAGGGCCAAAGCCTCGATTTCAGCTTCATGTGTTCACCGTGCCTACAATCCAGTCCACATTGATCTTCAACATGGTGGCTCCAGATTGAAGAGAGTGCGGTTTCCAGTTCATAGTTTTCAAAGTCCCATATGGAAGAACTTGAATGCCATCCACTTGCCACTGGCCATGCATAGATCCTCCAAAACCCGTCGAATGTTCATGTTCATGCATCCCTTTTCATGAGCCCTTCGGTTGGCCCGAAGGACAGCTCCGAGAGTGAAGAGGCTGGGCCAACCGCAGCGGTGTTGAATGTTTCCCTCGGCATCACTCGGCCCATGCGATCGGCTGAGCGGGAGCGTGACGTGAAGCACATTGTTGTGCAGATTTGCGGATGATCCTGATGGAATATGTGTTGCTTCGGTGTCGAGAGCAGGGAAGTCACAATTACCTGGCTGCTAGTCTGGCTGCTGCTGAGTCGAACTCATTGATTTGCCAGGTGCTTTGAAGTCAACATGCTCAGGATTGCTCAGGGCACAACGCGACAATGTCAGTATTCAATCGATGTGATTGCCTGCAGAGGTACATAGCATACACACAGCGGACACAGACACCTAGTCTTCAAACAACATTTTGTGCCAATGATTTGTATAAGCTAATCAGCAAGATAAAGTGCAAGAATTCTCACCCTTTAGCCTTTTGCTTATCTCGGGCCATGTCCACCTTCCACGTCCAGCGGACACTCGCGGGAGCACCTGTGCCTGGGCTGAAGGACGGCAAAAGCCGCTGCGTGGGCCCTGCTGGATGGATGGTAGCATGTTGGTTGGTGTGGGCCTTGTGCTTCCATCCCCAGCACCTCAGCTATGTTGGAGGAACCGGCGTGCCACAGCAGCCTAGAGCGACGAATTGGTGGACCACTACCATGCTGGTGCGGGAGAAGAAGGGTTCCTTGTGGCGAAAGAATGGCAATGTTAAGGCACCAGGAGGTGGGAGGTCTCGTGCCTCCTCATCCTCACCAGGAGGCGCGAAGGCAGCGATGATTTTGACCTCCAGAATCAACAAGGCTCCGACAGCTGCCGAGTTGCTTGCTGTTCTGGATGGGGCTGTGGATGATCCGGACTTCAACTACTACCACATATCAGCAGCATATCACACCTTGGCCAAGTTTCATCGGAGGGGCTTGTTGCAAGGACTTTGTGAAAGCCCGGTGCTGCCCAAGCTTCACACTCGAGTTGAGAACCTGATCAGGTCGAAACAAATCAACCCACAGGCTTCGGCTAATGTGCTGTGGGCAATGGCAGTGCTGCTTGAGGCAATTCCCAGAACAACTTGTTTGCTTCCTGTTTTGACGAACGTGTTTCCGGAGAAAACACCTGGCATGAAAGCACAGGAATTGGCCAACTGCTTGTGGGCCTCAGCTCATTTGAAGGACGTTGCTCCTGATGTGCTGAAGGTCGTGCCGGCACTCATAGCCCAAATTCCAAATAAAGCCGTTGACATGAAGCCTCAAGAAATGTCCAACTGTTTGTGGGCATCAGCACACTTGAAGGATGTAGCTCCCGTCGTGCTGAACATTGTGCCGACACTTGTTACCCACATTCCAGGCAAGGCTGCTTTGATGGATCCTCAAGAATTGTCCAACTGCTTATGGGCAATTGCACATTTGAAGGGTGTCGCCCCCGATGGCCTGAACATCGTATCAGCACTCGTTGCCCAAATTCCGGGCAGGGTTCATGACATGATTCCCCAGCACTTGTCCAACTGCTTGTGGGCATTGGTTCAGTTGAAGGATGTTGCTCCTAACGTGCTGAAGGTCGCGCCAGCACTCGTTGCCCAAATTCCAAGCAAAGCTGTCGACATGAAGCCTCAAGACTTGTCCACCTGTTTGTGGGCATCAGCACATTTGAAGGATGTCGCTCCTGATGTGGTGAAGGTTGTGCCAGCTCTGGCTGCCCAGGCTTGATGAATGTACTTGACTTGTCCCAATGCAGGTGGGCCTCAGCAGAGCTGAAGGATCTAGTGCCAGAAGTAGCGAAGATCGAAGCTTCCCTGGCAGCAAAGACTGGCTCCGCATTTTGAATGACGGTGGCACATGTTTTCCCGTGGCTCAGTGTTTTTCAATGTTTTTCATGCAAAGGTGTTTTGTTTAATTTTAATATATATATATATATCTAAAATTACTTGCTAGTGTCAATTTGTCTATTGGTAACAGTAGCCGCAGTAGTAGTAGTAGTAGTAGTAGTAGTAGATGCATTGAAAATGGAGCGGCCCAGGCTATTTTTGACACATCCCCAAGTGATGAATCCTTCAGTTCCTAAAGCTAGGCAATTGTGGTGCATGGGCCAGAGACAGATTCCTGGCACCATCTTGAGAAGAGTGCTTGAGCGTTTTCATGCGTTTTGATGCACCACGGGAGATCCGAGTGCAGGAGCAGTTGTGTGCTCGTTCATTGCACCAGCGCGGGGTAGGGGAAAAGGACGACACTGTCAGCTCATCAGAGTTGGCCCGGCTTCAGGAAGCATCAGACATCCGTAGAATAAAGTGTTTCTTTTGTAGACCTTCCGCTCACTTACGTTTGGAATCAGAAGCTACGTCAGGTGGGGATTTGTGTTTGCTTGCCGGAGTGCACTTGGCTCAGCATGAAGGGAAGAAAGCACTGACATTTGAGCTGATGAAACAAGATCCAACTCGATGTCAGGACTGCATTGTATGGATGGAAAGGTCAAGAAACCCACATTCTCGAAGCTCCGCTATTTGTTTAAAGCCATGATCTTGCGCACTGACGTGGGCCGAAAGTCAGCGGCAGCAGCTTTGCCTGGGCGGAGGGTCCACAAAAGCCGCTGGTTCCGTTTGGCCGGACGGATGGCGGCATGCTGGGTTGTTTGGGCCTCGTGCTTCCAACCGGTGCCGCTCACCTACGTGGGGAAAACCGGCACTCCATTCCAAGTCCGACACTGGAAGTCGTGGAGCACTACCATGCTGGTGCGAGAGAAGAAGGGTTCCCTGTCGCGAAAGAATGGCAATGTTAAGGCACCAGGAGGTGGGAGGTCTCGCGCCTCCTCATCTTCACCAGGAGGTGCCAAGGCAGCAATGATCTTGACCCGCAGAATCAACAAGGCTTTGACAGCTGCAGAGTTGCTGGATGTGTTGAGCGAGGCGGTGGTATTTCCTGACTTTAACGAATTCCACATCTCAGCTGCATATCACACGTTGGCAACGTTTCATCAGAAGAAGTTGCTGCTGCCAGTTTGTGCTGAAAGCCCAGTGCTGCCCAAGCTCCATGCACGTGCTGAGGAGAGGATCAAGTCGAGACAAATCGATCCACGGGGTTCTGCCAACGTGCTGTGGGCAATGGCAGTGCTGCTTGAGGCAATTCCCAGCACAACTTCTTTGCTTCCTGTTTTGATGAACGTGTTTCCAGAGAAAGCACCTGGCATGAAAGCACAAGAATTGGCCAACTGTGTTTGGGCATCAGCGCAGTTGAAGGATGTCGCTCCTGAGGTGCTGCAAGTCGTGCCAGCACTCATTGCCCAAATTCCAAGTAAAGTGGTTGGCATGAAGCCTCAAGAATTGTCCAACTCTTTGTGGGCATCAGCACATT